ACGTATTCATCTTAATTTTCTATCATTTTGATGCAGCATTTGCCTGGGGGGTGGGGGAGAGAGGATTACATTCGCTATAATATGGCTCTTAATTAATAATTAATTATGTTAATATTGCAAACATCCATGCCCCCAGTGGCAGTTTGCTTGTATTCCTGTACCTATTTCTATTTTCAGTGGTGGGATTCAGCAAGGTATGACTACATATTTCAGACAGCAATTGAGAGAGGCAGTTGAGAAAAGGAAGCGTAGGACAGCTGTGGCGGTATCTGTATGGGACATGCTTACTGTGACAGTGTTTTTTCTCAGTCATTTGTGGCAACAGTAGCAAGACCCTGACTTGTTGGTGAAATCCCGTGAAGTAGGGACACTTATATGCTTTACAGTCAAGGGTTTTCCAAAAGGCTTCCATTTGCTTACATGTCTTCATGTAACAGACATGAGGTGTGACTGTTCAGCCATTCTCACACCAAAATGATTTCCTTTGATACTCCTTGGTAAGGAAGGACTTGCACCTACCGTAACTACTAGATACAGCAGTTAAGAGCCTCCCTCTCAGCTGTCCAAATTGTACTGTGGTTTTGGTATAGATGTAACCAGAGAGCCTCCTGTTCAGTTAAGCCTTTCAAATTAATAACATCATTTGCTTTTGCCATATGATACGTTTAAGAAGATTTTCCTCTGTATGTGCCTCCCTCAAGCCCTGCTTAACTGCAGCGCATAAAACGTACATGAGGTCTTGATATAAGCTCTCTTCTGCTGGACTTCCAAGTATCCTAAATAGTACAATGAAGTAATAATGTCTGTAAGTCTCCCACCTCATGAATACAGCTATTGAGAGGAATAACTTGATATTGAGAGACGGTGTTTTTGCAGCACCTAACATGATGAGACCCAATCTAGTTCTAATTAGTCCACACTATGTCTTAGTTTCCAGGCTGAAAGCCTGCAGTACAGTGGTGAACACATTGCATGCAAGGCTTGGGTCTCCTTTTTAGTACTGTCAACTGAAAACGAAAACTCCCAACCGTGGTAGAGGTATAAATATGGTAAGAGTTTCTAAAAAACATTTTTAAATTTGGGCTTTTTGATTTGATTTTTCTTATATAGCTCAGTTACTCAGGGGGTGAACGTTGGTAACGTTTCCAAATGTTCTGGCAACCATAAGCTTGATCAATTAGAATTGTGTATTAAAAAAACTATCAGAAGACAAGTAATAAAATATTGGAAATAGGCAGTTTTAGGGTTAATGAAACATCCTTTGTCACACAAATTGTCAGCAAAAGGGATGTGTAGGAAATAATGATGTTTGTGATTATGCTCCTTTGGGAAGCTCACCTACGAGCCTCAACCTCAGATTTCTTCTCTAAGTTATTTCCAACATCTCAAACCCTGACAGATGCAACCACCTGCTAAACAAAACAAAACCTGCTAGAAAAACATTGCTCCACTGCCACATCAAAATAAGCCCTGCCCACAACCATGTTCAGGTCTGAATGTGTGGTATGTTGCAATCCATCAGACAGAAATGAGACTCATTACTAATAAGAACATACAGCAAGTCTTAAAAAGCTGACTTACAGTTTTGGTTGGTTGCTTTGGTTTGTGTGGTGGTGTTTATTTGGTTGGTGATTATTTTTTTTTCTCCAAAAGGCAGGAATAGCATTTGCTTTTAGTTCACAAGTTCAGAGTTGTCAGAGGTCAAAACCACACTATAGAACTACAACTTAGCTACCTTCTCCTGTAACCACTCTTTGACACCCGTGGCTTTCCTTGAGGGCAGGGCCCCCTGGCCTCAGTGCCACCAAGACATGCTGACTTTATGGATGGAGAGTAAAGAACGAGTATAGTTACACCGGAAGATGCTGTGTATTTCTCTCAACAGTCCATTATCAGTAAACACACTTTGACTGGATCAGGTATGAACTGATAAAACTTCCAGGCTTTGACCTTGTAAACATTATGTCATAATGCATGATGCAGCGGGAGTCTTCCTAGAAGCAGTAGGTATGTACATTTTCTTAGTTCCTTTAATGGCTTAAACCTGTTTTTTCACATTAATTTCTGTTCATGGATTGAATAGAAAGTTTGTATTTTTAGTGATCCTAGTTGAAAGGCTGACATGGTCTAGTGTGAGGCGTCCCTCCCCATGGCAGGGGGGGTTAGAACTGAATGATCTTAAGGTCCTCTCCAACCCAAACCATGCCATGATTCTATGAAATGTTGGCTGGTTGTGAAACCAAGTACTTGGAGTTACTCCATTTGAGCCACGTGAATCAGCAGTACTTTTATAGGTCCTGCATTTTTTCACTTCAGCATTTCAAACGGTGATTCTTGCACAGAAGAATCTGGTAGAAAAAGATAAAAGGCTCCATCTAGTGGGCAAGGACTTTTTATCTAAAGCAAAAAACAAAACAGGCCTCTCATTTTCACTTAATATTATGCATGAAGAAATACTGCTTTAGAGTTTTGTTTCATTAAGCTGCCATGTTGTTCTTAATTCTTGCCTTCTGCAGAGCCATTATTTCATAGGCAAAGACGAAACATTAAGAGTTATTCTGACAGTCTTGAGCAAGAAGCAATAAATGATACTAAATGAGTGGGTTTACACAGGAGAGTATCCACAAAGCACTTCCTCCCCCACTCCCGCTTTCAAATTTCAATATATAGTAACCAAAACCGGATAATTTGTGTGTCAACAAATACTGTAAACTATTTAACCTTCTTTCCTACTTAAAACTGACTGTAAGTAGTTTGTAAGACATTCATAACTTGGCTGTAACATGGGATTTTGGTACTGTTTTTACACTAGAAACTCTGCCTATGTGTTACCTCACCTTTATTAAGTTACCTGCAAAGGGTGAGATCTGGGTTCTCTGGCAACTCAGTCCATTGCATCAGCTTCTGGCTAGGCATCACCCCACTGGCCTCTACAGGCTCTTACAAAGGCAAACATAACTTATTTGTCCTGGCATTTGTCTGAGAGCCTGCCCAGCACTCTTGCATGTACAAAATCATCCTAATAGAAGCTAGTGCCTTTATTTCAGGTCTGTTTCATCGATCTAGTTAGTACAGTACTTTGTTGTTGTTAGCTTTTGGGGGGGAGGTTCTCTCCTTTTTGCTGAACCTCTGCACTGCATTGCAGTTAATGCTCCAAACTCCCGAGAGATTCAAATGGTAGGGCTCTTCATTTTAAAGCAGTAGAACTCGGGTGTTAATCTCTCATTCTAACCAAACACAGCTTGCAGTCTTCAGTTCTTTTCAGGCTAAAAACATGAGACAGGAAGAAGCAGCAGCAGGCAGAGATATGGCAGAAGAGACACTGAACCACATTGTGTGTCCTGCCTTTTGTCAGACTCTCATTTTCAAGCCATAGAACCTAGCAAGTTCAATTCCTCCTGTGCAGCTTCCAGCAATGGGTAGACAGCTGCTGTTGTAAACTTGCAGAAAGTTTACTATAGCCCATGTTCACATGCACCTCTTTGTCTCCTTTGCATATTACAGAATAGAGCTTAGTATGATGTTTTACACACCTCTTGATCACAGGGAGATCCTCACTTGCAGTGGGGCCACATGATAGCAAAGCCAGAAGATTCCTCCTTCAGTATTAATGCATGATTTGGCAATTCTGACAGGCCACACAGACTTGCTGATGGGCCTGAACAGTTCTCCCCAGCTACAGCTCTCCTTGTATCCTCCATGGAAATGTAGCTCTGGCACCAGTGAGTAAGACCTGTCATTTGGCTTTACAAACTAAAACAAAGAATAGTTTCTGGGCTCCTTCTCTGAACCACTGTATGAGCAAGGACTGATACAGAACTGACTAGACTTAAAAGTGCCTTTAGGGAAGTTGATATGTTTGTAAGTTTGGGGGTGATTCGGAGAAAACTCCAGGAACAAACTTGCCAACAAAGCTTGTATCTTTGGTCTCAGCTTGTAGGAAGTCTGTGTAACCCTTAAAACATGTCAGCTAAACTGAGACAGAATGGTGGTTTAGAACTTCACAGATATTTCAAAACTGTCATTGTAACTGCACTGTTACATGGGTTAAGCTCTCCTAAAATTGACATCAGCTATTTGTCAGAGTGAACCCAGGACCAGGTTTGGGTCTATCTAATGCACAGGGACACCTACCTCCCTAGGTATGCAGAAGATGCAACTCATTTACTTTGAAGCAAAAGTTGTTGAATAGTACCACTTGTTAAATAATTACCAACTAAAGATGGCCTACAGGAGAGAGACTTCTTCGCAGGGCCTGCAGTGACAGGACAAGGGGCAATGGCTTTAAACTGACAGAGGAGAGATTCACAGTAGGTATTAGGAAGAAGTTCTTCATTATGAGGGTGGTAAGACACAGGGTGCCCAGAGAAGCTGTGGCTGCCCCATCCCTGGCAGTGTTCAAGGCCAGGTTGGATGGGGCTTGGAGCAAACTGCTCTAGTGGAAGGTGTCCCTACTCATGGCAGGGATATTAGAACTGGATGAGCTTTAAGGTCCCTTCCAGCCCAAAGCATTGTGTGATTATATGATTAACTACTGGCCTCTGCTGTAGAACTGTTTTCATTTTAAGAGATTACAGGCTTGCTGCTGGGCCAAAATTAATTCCATGTTTGGAACTACAGTAAGATCTTCTGTTTTGTTTTACTTTAAATACCTTGTCTAGCACTGTTACTTCAGCTGATGCTAATGGAATACAGATTTCCAGATGTGAAATTTTGGGGGACATTCAACAATCTGCTCCTGTAATAAATAATCTGCTGTGAACTCAAAATGCTAATTGGGGGATTAAGTATTAATTTATTCCCTCTACAGGTCATCGGATAGTCTCATAAAAGCCTTCTAATTAATATTTATCATAGCTATTTTAGATGTTGTTTATCTGGGTTAGATTTACTCAGCTGCTTTTTCCTTCTTTGCAGGAGCAGCAGCCTTTACAACAATAAATCTCTATCAATGCATTTGTTTCAAGAGTACCACTCACTCTCTCCCTTATTTCGCATAGCTAACCAGATGCTGCAGTTTGGAACACTCGTCAGTACTTCCAACACTTATGACGACTCCGGGATTGTAACCATTGAGACGGACAAGCCTTTGCTGTGGACAATGTCTATCAAAATATAGGATCAGCTACCTTTTCTGATCTGATTCAATTCAAATTACTACAGAATTTCACTGAATTAAGACAGTAAAGCTGTGCCAGAAGATATAAGCAGGCACTGATTTTTATGTACTAAATGAAAAAGAGATCTGAAATAAAAGTCATTTGAGATCAAATCAACATCAGTAGCAGCAACTGAGTACTTCATTCTGGTACCTAACACTACTTAATCTGAAGGCACAAGTTGCTACCCAAAACAATCACAAACAGAAGTGGATGTAAAGGCACTGCTGCTGCTTATCAGGTTAGTTCAGACTCTTTTTACAAAGTATTTTATTACATTGCTGACTTTTTCCCCTTCTGCCAAAAGGAAATACAGTACACAGTGCACACAGTATAACTATATTAAAAGGTGATAGCACTAAAGGTAGTTAATCTCATTTTCTCTGTCCTGATTTGTAACATATGTAGGTGCTGGTGATGATTTTTTAAGGAGATCAATAATTGAACTTTCTACTTACGAAGCAACTTTGTGTACTGAAGAAATCACTTTTACTGTAATACCAATATCAGATTTCCAAGTATTAAGTGCTTCTAAAGTCTGTAATAGAAGTAGCATTGTAACTTCTGCAAATACCAAATGCTTACAGTAAGCTTTCTTCAATCTGAGGAGGAAGAGCATCACATCTACCACAGGTTTTGCACACTTAAGTTTTCAAAATCAAAATATTCAACCATTTTATAACAGAAACTTCCAGTACAACAAATGCAGATCTCTTTATAATTCTATCTGCAGTTGTCTCACAGAACCATTATCCAAAAAGGGGCCTACCCAATACTGTAAGCAAGTTGATTCGCTTAAGGACTGCTTAGTATCTCTGGTGACTAAACTAACCTCAAACTGTACATCTTAGTAACCACCTAAGTTTAGCTGTCTGAATTACACAAGTTCTTTATTTGATGGAACATTTTCCCCCTGTAAAGTATATAACATAACCTAACAGGACTTCCAAATGCAGAAAGTTAGTATGGGTTATCATGGTGATTCCAGAAACTAGTAAGAATTCCAGTTAACAGACTTAAAAATCACCACTTGAAAGGGTACAGTAACGCTGTCTTCTTGCTGTCTGCTTTTCTTGCTGTAACAATGCTGATTACTAAACAGTAAATTAAGCATTGGAACAGCTTCTGATAAAAGTTGTCACCCTTAGAGGTTTTCAGTACTTGACTGGACAAAACTTTAAGCAACCCTGTCACAGTGCAACCCAGATTTGAGGGGGAGGTTGGACTAGAGATGTCCCAAGATTCCTTCCTACCCCTGTGATTCTAGTACAGTTTAAAGAAGAAACAAAACTGTCAAACCAAAGAAACAAAAACAGCAGTACTACAAAAAAGCCTGTAATGTAGACAGTTATGATCCCATACACTTCAAAAAGAGGCATGACAAGAATGTTTGAAAACCCAAACTGAACTGGTTTAATAGAAAACAAGTTAAAGCTGTGAAATCTTTGCAGCAAGTGTCACAACATCTTGTTCTTCATGATAAATATTCAGCCGCCTCTGTTGAGAGAACAAAGTAATCAGTTTCAACTAAAAGTGTGATCCACCTGAAGTCTGATTTATCCTCCCACCACTGCCCTGTTTAGGACAAACATTACTACAGTTACAGCTTATCTCTTACTTTCAAACACTTCTGCTTGCTTAGAGGACCACTCTTAAAGGTATAAAGCAAGCCACATGTCACAGAATAGTATTTAAACTGTTCCAGTGCTAGAAATGGGATATCAGCTCTGGAGAATGAGGATTTTAGTGTGAGGGATTCCTGCCCATGGCAGGGGGTGGAACTAGATGATCTTAAGGTTCTTTCCAAACCAAACCATTCTATGATAATTGGCAGGGTTAATATGTCAGTACCACAGCTGCTGGTCAACTTAAGGGTTAAGTTTTCATCCTGCAACATTCATTCCAAAAGGTATTTCACAGAATGCAGTTACATGTAAAGTTTTAAACATACGTAGCACGTATGTTCCTCAGCGATGAAAGGACTCAGAAGCTGAGGAAGGCTGAGAAAACTGGGTTTGTTCAGCCTTGAGTAAAGAAGGCTCAGGGGAGACCTTACCACCATGTTCCAGTATTTCAAGGGTGGCTACAAAGAAGATGGAGACTGCCTTTTTACAAGGAATCATGTGGAAAACATGAGGAATGGTGGGCACAAGTTAATCCTGGAGACATTCCAGTTGAATACAAAAGGAAAAATTTTCACTATGATAACAATCAGCCATTGGAATAATCTCTCTAGGGAACTGGTGGATTCCCCAACGCTGGACACTTTTAAGAGTGGGCTGGACAGGGTGCTGGGACATCTAATCTAGGTCATGCTTCGCCAAGAAAGGTTGGATCAGATGATCCTTGAGGTCCCTCCAACCTGGGATTCTATGAGTCTATTAATATTTTGCAGCATTCTACATTAAGAACTGACTTCCTGATGCAGTCCTTGAAATCAAGTAATACCCATCACATTACACTAACAGGTGAAATGCACATATACTAAAGCAACATGGATCCTGCAGGGCTCACAAACATCCTTTGTTTAAAATTGAGCAGGTAAAAATGAATGCAAAATGTAGTGAAACTGAAATACGTAAGTACAACCGTATTTACTTACACAATGATATTGTTGATGGGGATGTGGATCAGTTTGACAAAGAAACCAATAAATCCCATTATCGCAAAGCCTATTGCTGTTGCCATGGCAATCTTCTGGAACTCTGCAGAAAAAAAAAACAAGAACCAAAAACTTTAGTCTAGGACACCTTGTGTATGGCACACTGCAGGAGATGTGCACTACAGTGACCAAAGGAGAGAGATCTCTTTATCAAACAGTAATGTAACAGAGGAAGCAGGTCAAATTGTACTGACACTGAGAAACAAATCCACTTTTTCATTAGGTAGATGAGTTTTAAGGGGGAAGGTGCTGCTTTCCACAGAGCATGGCCAATCTCAGTATTTATTCAATAATAAGCAGAATCAGGAATACCCACAGTCTGTAACAATTCATGGCACACTTACTCCATTATCTTCCCTTCGCATCCTACAAGCCCTCCAAATAATCCTCAATACAGTATCAAACATGGAAAAGCTGATTTATGCCTGCCACAGGGAGAAAGCATCTTAAGTCCTCACAAAAACTGAGTACTTAAGTGATATTCTCAATTATTTTAAGGCAGCAGCCATGAAGTGGACTAAGGTCAGCAGCCCCTCACAATCCCGTCAGCCTGACAGCGAACAAAGTTCCTCACTGATCTCAAAAAAAGATGTCATCTGAATAAAGCACCTTAACTACTACCATTAAGGACAACCTGCTACATCTAATTCTAGTTACAGCTTCTGAAGCCTTTGAGAAAGTCCCCAAACTTTATCTGCTGTACTTCCAGCAACAAAGTTCTTCCTGTCCCAGTCAGGCAGGCACTGACAGCTGTGAAGGGCTGAATGGACAACTGCAGAAAGTGACCCTAGTTCCTTTCCAGGCTTCTAAAATGAAGTGTTTGCTCATTTAACAAGCAGTTTTGTCCACAATTTCCCCCAAGTTGAATGCAATCAGTCAAACTTGTTTAAGTGCACACCACCTTCTTCCCAGATCAGTTTAACTAATGCATAAGAATTACTGTCTTAAAATGGCTTATTTCAGCTACTTGGCCTATTTCATACAATGAGATTTAGTACTGCTCACGCACCTTTGTACATACCAGAAAAGGACACAATCAAGCTTATTACACCCAGAACCACAAACTTGTTAACTTTTGGACAACTGCTCAAGTTTAAATCTCATCCTGAGAAACATTCACAACAAACGATTTCAACAGAAGTGACATTAGGAAAGATACATAGTAAGATTTAAAGTGAAATAAGGATTGCATTCTGGTTTATTGTGTACTTTACCTTTCCTGTCAGGCTTGGTGCATCTTTTAACAAGTCGTATGGAGTCTTTTACAAACTGACGGCTGGGTTCCACGAATTGCATTACCTGATCCATGATTACCTGCCAACATGAATGGGTTTAGTTGGTGGAGCCATGAAAAGAGGATTTTTTTTAGTTACAGAAGTAGAAAAATCAGTTACCAGTTAAATTTGTAAGGTAATTTAAAATATCATATTCCAACCTAACCAGGCGTTAAAAGGTACTTCCACTTTGCAGAAAATACACTGCATCAACCCGAGGGCCTACTAGTGCTTTTCGGCACTGAAAACAGCAGCTCCATCACAGTTTGCTTTCAGACTATGCCCTACACTGCGTTTCTGAGTACACACGGCAGGCGTCTAAATGGAAAAAAGCCACCCGCCTCAAGACCCCCCCAGGGCAAAGCCTGCTGCCGCCGGGCTGGTGAGCACCGAGGGCAGGCCCGCGGTATAACCTCATCCTTAAAGCGAGCATCTTGCCCACGCCAAGCAGGACACCAGAGAGACCGGCTCCCCCCGGGTCCCTTCGATCAGACCCTCTCACGTCTCCCCTCCTCAGCACCGTGCCCGGGCCATCTACATCAGCTCCCCCCCCCGCTCCATGGAAGCCTCAGCCCCCCGGGACAGGGCTGGATGTAAGAAAGGGGCTCACAACCCACCCCAGTCCTCTCCCCGCCGCTCTTACCGCTGGCAGGCCAAGGCCACGTCGCACAAACGGCGGGACGCCGTGACGCCACGACGCCTGACGTCCGCGCACAGCCCCGCCCCTTCCCGACAGCCCGCGCTGTCGCGGGCAGCTCGGACCTGTTTTGAGGAAAAAAGGCGGATTCCTGATCAAACGGTTCATGTTTGTGGGGTTTTTTTTGTTCTTTCCGGATCCCGGGACTGCTTTCCTGCCCCTTGTCACACCACCGGCCGCGCGGGGTTAAGGCCAGGCGGGGGTGCGGCGGGGCTGTGCTGTTGGACCCGTCTGTCCTGTGTCTGGGGACGTTTGGCGGTAGATGCGCTTTTCAGAGCGGTTGTAGCCATACGGTCCGAGAGCCTTATAGCGGGAAATAAAGAGGAGGTGGTACCGGTATAGCTGTAACAAGTGTGGGTTGATAAAGGAACAGGCTACCCAGTCCGTGGAAGTGTTTATGCACCGTGTGGACGAGGTCCTCAGTGACGTGGGTTAGTGGTGGCGTTGGCAGTGCTGGGGAAGGGTTGGACCTTACGAGCTTAAA